TTGCTCAGTCCATCCAAGGTGGTATTTGTGATTGTTCGTTTCTGACAGAGAAAATAGGCAGCCAAAGCATTTTGAGTAACTGTTAGAGATCAAACTGAACTAAGGTAAACGACTTGGAATTATTACAGAAATTGGTGGGAAAAATGAAATTTAACTGAACAAAAATCTACTTTGCATACTTCCCAGGTATGCGTCACTTTAGACAAAACATGTCAATTATAAAGAAAGGGGGTCAACATAGTTAAATATCATTGTATTTCTCTTAAAACCAACTTATTTATTGTAAGATTGTTGCTTACTATAATAATTACTCAGTCTAAGTGTTATACATATTAGAAGTATAATTTAGTGTAAATTACTTTGTCTTTATTTCTACTGTATATTTCAATTACGGCCTTAAATTGATTTAAAAAAATTTTATGTGTAGGTAAGTTACATTATTACTGAATTCATCTCAGGTTAGTTAAGAGGGATTTCCAAATATTTATTAGAAGAAGTCAGTGCTGGTCTGATGGGATTGAGAATTTCTGCTCTAGCGGTGCCAACTTCCCGTTTGTACAGAGACCAGGCAAGTCTCCCAGTGTGATGGAGTTTCTGCACCACCAAGGACCAACTTCATTGCTTTTGGAAAAGATACAACTTGTGAAATAGCTGAATGATAACTTGGTCTCTTTAACTAATAGGAGTTATTTTGGTTGCTCCTTAGTTCTCATGTCAGTTGCCTGAGTAATGGAGACTTTCAACCAATTTATTACTCTTTTTAACCTTACCTTTCCCAGAATTATGTGTGGAAGGACACAAAGTGAAAAATCAAACCTCCAAGCTCAAGAATTGTTTGCCCCTTGAAAATGATCTGTGGCGAAGTTATGTTCTAGCCGTGGTTCTTTCCATGGGCTCAAAAAGGCAAGGGCATCTTTGGGTTATTGTTCCCCAAAACTGGTTTTTAGCCATTTAGCCATGTGTTTTTTGCATATGAAGGCCTCCCCGCCCCTGCCGCCTTGTCCTTCCCCTAAACAGTAAGGCAGTTCTGATAGCTTCCGTGGAAAGGCCTGGCTGCCTGTTAGGCGTGTAGTGGCGGAAACAAGCTCTTGTTTTCCTGATGGACCCAGGGCCACTGGGATGCATGACTGCAGGGAGCATCACACACACAGGACACCAGGTCCGCTGCTCTGGCTCTCGGGATGGAGTGTTTTCTGCCTTTAAGAGAACACGGGGTCTCGGCAGCCTCGGTGGTCTGCAGCGGTGCATCTCGTCAGGACGAGCCAGAGGAACCAGGGTCGTGGGGACGAGTTATGGGGCAGAGAGACCTTGTGTGCACTGCCACGGATTACAGTGCAGCGGGAACAAAGACAGCCATCAAAACCCTTTTACTGTGTCCAAGGAACAGCACATCAGTGTCACCTGGCAGCGTGTTAGAAGAGCAGTCTTGGCCCTCACCCCAGGCCAGGAATCACTCCGCATGTGAACAAGACCCCTGTGTGGTTCACATACACTTTATACATGGAGGAGCAGCCCTGTCGCCTACAGTCAAGGGCCCTGTCTTCAGACCACAGTGCAAACTCTGCCCCTCCACCGGCCTTGGGTACCCCTTCCGTGCCTCTTCCCTCACACAGTCACCTGTGTCCCAGACATCTCCTGACTGGCCTGTTTTGGGAGGTCTGCATGTCTGTCCTTCCCGGGACAGACATGCTGTGTTCACCTGGCAGCCCCAACACCTTGCATGCTGCCCGACTCAGAGCAGCCTCCAATCAGAAGGCTCACCGAGTCACTGAACAAATAAATGAGCGTATGAGCCCCTGAAACTACTGCCCTGAGATCATCTTTAAACCTTAGCCCAAAAATATCCCCTAAGTCTTCTTAAAACCAAACTTTAGTTTAAATAGTAAAAAAGGTCTGCCTTGAGAACGTTCTTTTCAGGACTGTCTATGTGGGATCAGCTTGACAACAGTAACTCGAAAGATTAGATAGGAACCTTAGGGGGCAGTGAGTTTCTGTTAATGAGGGAGGAACAACTCAGAGAAGGAGGGTGAGAATGGTTGCACAACTCGAAGAATGTCATCAGTGCCCCTTAATGGTACACGTGGAAACTGCTGGATTAGTGTATGTTCTACTGTGAATATTCTCAACAACTACAAAACAAATAAAATTTAGAGGGGGGAATAAAACCTGTTGAAGAACATTCTCAAAGATTCTTATAAGCGTAAGAGAAGATTATATGTACACATTGCTCTAAAAAGTTTACAGACCAGCCCAGCTGTATTGGTGTAGAATTCCCTTTTAAGTAAATAAGAATTTAAGCCAGAGAGCCAATTAGATAGCATTGCCCAGCGTGTCGAGTGGGCCATCTGGGAAATGCAGTTCTTCAAAATTCTGGACTGTTAACAACATGTTATTTTAACACCACAGTACAACTCTGGATTCTAGATAGCAAATCTTTTATTCTTTAACAAATGAATGAAGATAGGTTTTGAATGTTCTAGCATTCAGAGGAATACAGACATGAAGAATGTTAATTAAATATCATACATGTTGAAACGTATTCTTTTAGTTAATAAATTTTATGAAGTTAAAAAAAAAATAATAAATGAGAGGGCAGGTTACCGACGGGGACAGAAAGAAAAGCCTGGAATTCACAGGTTAGCTGTTTATTCTCGCTGCTTCTTAGACAAGCTCTATGAGGTAAAAACGAAACACACAGACGTTTTCAACGACACAGATTTTAAATGTCAACCTCGACTCACTTTTAGGATGTGTGGAGCATGGTGGTTCAGGCACTTTTGTCCCCAGAGGCACACAGGAGACACCAGGCTGTGAGGGAGTGACTCGCTGTTTTGGGGACGCCGTGGCCAGCTGCCTGGTGAGGTAGGGAAGAGCAGCGTAGACACAGATAAGGCAAGCACACAGCCCCCCCGCCTTTCAGAAGGTGACTGTCCAGTGGACGGGCGGCCGGGTCCTCTGCTTCGCCTGCTCCCTCCTACCGCTCACCTGGGGCCAGTCAATGAGCGCCTTCCGCAGGAAGTGACTGGGGAGGGAGGGAAGTGTACCAGGCTTGGTGTCAGCATCTTTGGGATAAGCAACAATAATCCCTGGTGGTACACCCAGTTAAGTGCTCAACTACTAGCCAAAAGATTGGGGGTTCAAACACACCCAGAGGTGCCTTGGAAGAAAGTCCTGGTGATCTGCTTCCAAAAGGTCACAGCCTTGAAAACCCCACAGAGCAGTTCTAACTCTGCACATTCAGAATCGACTCTATGGCAGCCTGGGAAAGGGGAGCAGCCCGCCCTAACATTAGCAGGAAACAACAAAATGCCACCAGCTATTTTGCCTGCCCCTTCTCGGCGGCCCCTCTGCAGGCCACAGCTGATGCTCCGTCAGGGCCCATGTATGAGACGGGCTTCGCCTTGGAGGGCGGATGGAAGGCATCTTCAGGAAGCAGGCATTTCCCCACCACCAGTCACGGGCCTAATGAGATATTCTCGCACTAAAGGACCCTAATGTGCTCCACAGACATGAGCTCATGGAGCCTCCCTGGGGAAGCAGCGGCCTCCTCGTCTTACAGCTGCCCTGCCTTCCACGGCCTACTCCCCCTGTTACGGTGGGAGATGCCGCCCGGCCCAGGAAACCTAAGTGACATGAATGTGACCCAGAACCCCATTCAGGGTAGAGTTCAGTGTGCAAGATGTGACCTAGAACCCCTACTCAGAGTAGACTTCTGTGTGCAAGACCTCACGCCCCTTTGGGCTCAAAGACGCCTTTTTTCTTTTGGTAGAGAAGACAGACCACCCGGTTCTGCTGGGGGCTGGGGCTGAGCTGAGAACAGCTGCTTCTCAGAAGTGAAAACAGCGTCAGTATGACCAGGGAGGGATGGGACACAGCCCGAGGACAAAGGCCATGTGCTCTGGGGAGCAGTGTTTCAGAGCAGTGCAGCTTTGCAGGAGAGGACCTTCCCATCCACTAGGAGGAACTTGGGGCCATGTGATTTTCTGGGTGCCCAGAGGCAGCAGAGGACATTTGAAGGGGTTCCCAGAATTATCCCACAGGATGGATTTAATGAAGACGGCCCTGCAGTGCCCCCTCTTCCCCCCAGGGTCTCAAGAAAGGGCCCCACTCACAGCCAAAGGTGCTCTTCTCTCTTCCTCCCCCGCCCTGGGCTGATTTCTAGAGGGGTCTGGGCTAGGTCTGCTTGAGAGAAACACAAACTAATGATCTAAAAGGCGAGAAGGCACGGTGGTTTAGAGAACGGTCATCACCAACTTTGGGGAGGGAAAGAAAGGACACTTCTTGTCAAGATGGGCCTCATTAGTGGCTCCGGCAAAGAGGTGACTTCACACTCCCACAGAAGGACCAATTTGCAGCCGATGACGTGGGGACTTCTGACTTTCAGGGAGAAACCTTCCCAGCTCAGGCGGGCTGAGGGAGCGGCTTCAGCCCCAGCCGCCCAGCCCCCTGGCTTCTACTGGCAAAGGGCAACCTACCCATGGGGCACACAGCGCCCTCCCCTGGCCTAGGACTGCCCAGGGGTGGCAGCCACAGTCTGTGGACTCGGGGGGAACCTCCCCGCCTGCTCTCTCTGGCTCTCCAATCCTGTGAGCCTGAGTCGGCTCCAGAACGGGGGTCCCATCCGTGTCATCTCAGAGCCCAGCTCCGCAGGAAGGGGTCTTGGAAAAGCAGCAAAAGGAGGGAGGGGGGACTCCAGTGAATCAAATCAACAAAGGGACAAACCATTCACCGACTCTGTGCGAAAAGTATATCTGCCAACGCCACGGAAGCGCGATGGGCTGTCCGCCGGTCGAAATCTCAGGGACTAAACTTTTTAGCTAAGTGATTATAATTGCAAATCCCACTACATATATGAACTCTATGTACACGTATATTACACACACATGTTAGCGTGAACATTACTTCAGCAGGTTGCTTCCCGGGAGCTCAGGCTTCGAACCACCCACTGCCCAGAGAAGCGGCTCTCACTGTGCTCGGGGCGCCGTATTGCCTGCCTCGTTCCCAGGGGCGCAGGCACCTCACACGTGGCTTGTCTTCTGGGCAAAGCTGTGGTCCTCGGGCAGCGGGAACTGGGCGGCTCCTGCCTTCTCCCAGCCCCTCCGGATCCTGGCGAGTCTGCGGCTGCAGCAGGGAAGCAGGAGTAGGCCTCGGGCCAGGATGATGGCGCAGGGCAGCAGCAGCGTGAGCGTGAAGGTGGGCGGCAGGTAGAACTTGTAGCTGCTCTCCTGGAAGGCGCGGGCCCAGCCATAGGTCAGCGTGTGCAGCGTGCTGAGCACCAGGGCCACGAAGCCCAGGGTGGACTGTGGAGGGGAGAGGAGAAGGCTGTGACGTGGCCGCAGGCAGAGGGCAAGGCCAGGTGAGGAGACACAGGGACCCCACCCGGGGAAAGAAGGCTGTGACGTGGCCGCAGGCAGAGAGCAAGGCCAGGTGAGGAGACACGGGGACCCCACCCGGGGAAAGAAGGCTGTGACACGCCGCAGGCTGACAGCAAGGCCAGGTGAGGACCCCACCCACGGCCCATCCATCCTCCCGGGACGGGGGAAGCCAGGCTCTGGGTCCGCATCCCTGGCCTCTCGCTCAGCATCCTACTGTAATCACTACACTCTCTGAGCCTCGGTTTCCTCGACAGAACATGGGAGTTCTGCTTCTCCCTGGGCAGTGTGTAAGGACTGACAGATTTTCTCCGGAAGATATGATGTTTTTCCCAAAGCACGCTGTACGTACCCCTGGGTGGCCTGCAGGTGGCTTTAGCTGGAATTCAGCGCAAAGAAGTTTAAAAACATTTTACTAGTTTTGTGTATATTTTAATACATATTAGAATAATAAGTATACTTCAGCAAACCAAAATAATAATTTCAGGTATTATTTGGCCTTACATGAGGCCAGATTAAAAAAAAAAACCCTGCTGTTGTGTCCCCTCCAACTCATGGTGACCCCACGTATTGTCACAGTAGAACTGTACTCCACAGGGTTTTTGATGGCTGATTTTTCAGAAGCAGATCACCAGCCCTATCTTCTGAGGTACCTCTGGGTGGACTCAAACTGCCAACCTGAACTGCCAACCATTTGGTTAGCAGCCAGCGTGTTAACCATGAAAACCAGGGACATGAAAATGGCTGGGAAGTGCTGCTCTGTAACTCTGGCCTCTGTGAGTCTTCTGCATGTGAGTTTTCTCGTCACTACAAATTAGGAGTTCCAGATTCTGCTGCTGGTGCTGGTACAGACTGACGGTGACCCTGGACCAGTCGTTCAGTTAGCTCAGTGAGAAGGAAGTAATTCCACAAGTCAAAGTGGCAGCACGTGGAGAAACACGTGGACAAGCTTCAGCACCGTGCAGACGCTGGATCCCTCAGTCCTGCAGTCAGGCAGGCAACAAGGAAGGGCAGAGGGCGCTGGAAGTATTTACAGGGGGCAGGGAGTAGAGCACAGAGGCGGTTTTGATTGAATTCTGTAAGCAATGAGGAGCTACTGAGAGATCTGGGTCAGGAGAGATCCATGTTTATTACATATCTGTCTTAGTCATCTAGTGCTGCTATAACAGACACCCCACAAATGGATGGCTTTAACAAGGAGAAGTTTATTCTCTCACAGTATAGGAGGCTACAAGTCCAAATTCAGGGCATCAGCTCCAGGCTTTCTCTCTCTGTCAGCCCTGGGGGAAGGTCCTTGTCATCAATCTTCCCTGGTCAAGGAGCTTCTCTGCGCAGGGACCCCGGATCTAAAGGACAGCTATTCTTCTGGCTCTTGTTTCTTGGTAGTATGAGGTCCCCATGTCTCTGCTCGCTTGTTTCCCATAGCTCAGAAGAGACTGACCCAAGACACACCCAGTCTTGTAGATTGTGTCCTGCTCATTAACATAACTGCCTCTAATCCTGCCGCATTAACGTCACAGAGGTAGGATCTACAACAGAGGAAAATCACACCAGATGACAAAATGGTGGACAATCACACAACACTGGCAATCATGGACCAGCCAAGCTGCCACATTTCCTGGGGGAACACAATCCAATCCACAACAATATCCCAAAAACAGTCCAAACTAACTGTCATTGAGTAGATCCCGATTCCGACTCAGAGACCCCGTGTGTTATTACAGTAACAGGGACCCATCACCCAATAAGCACATATGTACTTTTTCCAAGGAAACACTACAAAGTTTTAATTTAAATGTGGCTATGCCGATAACCTCAGTCTTCTTTACAGACTGGGCTGGAGCCTTCCACAGAGAAGCTGCAATTGGGCCTCCTGGATTTCCTTTGAGCCCAGCTTGTCAGCACCGATTCAGGGACGTGGCTCAGAGATGCTGGCTTGTTTGAATTCCCCTCGAACAGATTTCTAAATGGGTCTGATTCTGCTAGCGCGCAGAACTCTCGGCTCCTCCCTGATATGGGGGAGCCGTATCAGTACCAACACCAGCATGGTGAGCCTCAGTGCGGTGCAGTGAATTCCTTCATAGGGCCCTTCTGGCCAGAGTTTTTGTAACTCCCACCAAATGACTGGATGGGACTACGCAGGTGAGGTGCTTGTGGCCCACCAAAGGGACTGGATAACTTGCTAATAGTGTATATAAGGTGCATGGCACCCTTGTGGTGGTGGGACCACGCAAGTAAGGTGTATGGAACACTAACGAGGGGACAGTCAGCTTTGCCATCCCGCTAGGCTTGTAATGAGCCATCCCAGAGGCTGCAGGAGAGGATCTCACCACCACCAAGAAAGAAGAGGCAGGAGTGGAGCTCGTCCTTTGGGCCTGGGATCCCTGTGCTGACAACCTTCTAGATCCAGGAGACAGAGAGGAGCTGTAACACGGAAGGCGGTGAGAGAGGGCGGCACGAGAGAGCAGGAGTCGGGGGACCAGTGAGACAGCTGTGATGGGGCTTCCTGGCCCACAGAGCAAGAAAGCTGAGCCTTCAGATGACGCTTATCGGTGCAGTGGGGTGCCTCTGGGCACTTATCAGCAGAGCTAAAAGAGCTTTGTAACACTGGCTCGAGCAGAGCAGAGGCCAGGCCAAGGGGCTGAGGGCCAAGGCTGAGAAAAGGCTGTCCTGATGGAAGAACTGGCATCGTGGTTAAGAGCTCAGCTGCTAACCAAAATGTTGGCACTTCAAATCTACCAGGCGCTCCTTGGAAACTCTGTGGGGCAGTTCTACTCTGCCCTATAGGGTCACTATGAGTCAGAATTGACTCGACAGCAATGGGTTTGGTTTTTGTTTTTGGATGAAAGAAGTGTATCCTGAGCATTCCTGAACCTGAACTGTAACCTATTACTTCCCTAATAAACCCCATAATCGTGAGTCTTGTCTGTGAGTTTTGTGTGGCCACTGCAACGAATTATCGAACCCAGAAGAGAAGCAGAGAGTGCCGTGGGAGGGACGGCTGGTGTCAGAGGGATGAGGCCTGTCTGACCTCCACCTCATAGCAATCAGCCCCGGGCTGTTGATCTTGATTCTCCTTCCTTCTTACGAAGTTAGAGGAGGTCAGACGCTGCCCACTCCTTGCCATTTCTACACTCAGTCAGTGAAAGAGCGTGGTTCTGAAAAATTGCTTTTAACGCTTTTATTAAAAAATAAAAAACATTTTCCAATGGCTATGCACTATAACCAGTTGCCGTGGAGCCAAATCCAACTACCTCAGAGGTGCCTTGGAAGAAAGGTCTGGTGATCTACTTCTGAAAAATCAGACACTGAAAATCCTATGGAGCACAGTTCTACTCTGACATGCATGGCTTCACCATGAGCTGGAATTGACTCAATGGCAAATGGTTTCGCTTCTTTTTATGCGCTGTAATTTTATAGACAGGTCCCCAGGTTCAACATTTTTGACCTCAAATGAAAAGAACCTACTGTCACCAGATTCCCCATCTCCAGCCTTCCTAAGCATCTCTGGTTCTTCTTGGCTTAGTGAACACCTCCAGGATCTTCTTATCCCATTGTCTTCATCACCTAGTGCTGCTATAACAGAAAGACCACAAGTGGCTGGCTTTAACAAAGAGAAATTTATTCTCTCACAGGCTAGTAGGCTACAAGTCCAAATTCAGGGCATCAGCTCCAGTGGAAGGCTTTCTCCCTCTGTCGGCTCTGGAGGAAGGGCCATGTCATCAATCTTCCCTTGGTCTGGGAGCTTCTCTGTGCAGGAACCTCAGGTCCAAACGATGCCCCCTGCTCCTGGCACTGCTTTCTTGATGGTATGAGGTTTCCATGTGTCTCCACTCACCTCTCTCCCCTATATTCCCAAAAGAGATTGGCCCAAGACACTATCCAATCCTGTAGACCTCATCAGTATAACTGCCACTAATCCATCCCACCATATCATAGGGACTGAATCCACAACTCATAAGGAAATCCCATCAGACTACAAAATGGTACACAGCCACGCAACACTGGGAATCATGACCCAGCCAAGCCGACAGACATTTCTGGGGGACACAATTCAATCCACGACACCCATCCTTAACGATTTAGAGACTCAGCACGGCCAGTCAGGAAAGGCCACGGCTGGCTCTCTTCTGTCACCTACAGTTAATTCACCTGTCACATCAACATGGCCAGCCCCCAAATGGAAGACTCAATTCTCCTAGCACCGACCTCTGAACCACACCAACTGTTTCTAAGCTCTGATCCATTGTTACTGAAGACGGGTTAAAAGGGGTCCCAGCGCTGACCATTTGGAATAAGTCTTGAACAAGTCTGTCGGTCATTCTAACGTTCCCCAGCTGGGTGCCCTGACGCCCAAACCACTGCCCCCCTCCCCTAATTGTGAAGTTTCTGGAGTTTGCCTCTGCCTCATAAGAATGGCTGGGAAGTCTATGAGTCAGATACTGTGGTTTTCAAGCCTAGCTACATGTTAAAAATCACCTGGGGAACTTGGAAATAATTAAGACCCATCCCTAGAAATTCTGATTAAATTGGTTTCGGGTGGGGCTCAGGCAGCTGTTGTCTTTAAACGTTCAGCAGGTGATCCTAATGTGCAACCAGGGCTAAGACTACTAATTTAGGAACCTCAAATCACCTAAGCCCTTCTAGCTTCAGTTGAGAAGTCCATATGGGCCCCAATGCCCAGGGCTTTTGGTTGGGGAGGGCACTAGACCTATCGGTTCCTTGGACAAAAATCCCGTGAGGGCCTCTGTGCACCCATGCTGCTGGAGCAGGGGGTGTCTCAGTCATCCAGTGCTGCTGTAACAGAAATACCACAAGTGGATGGTGTCTCAGTCTACCTAGTGCTGCTGTGACAGAAATACCACACGTGGACGGTGTCTCGGTCACCTAGTGCTGCTCTAACAGAAATATCACACATGGATGGTGTC